CAATCCTTTTCTATTAAGAAATCTATTGAAATTCCAAACAATATATTGGAAAAAGAACTGTTTGAAAAAGGAGGGAAGAGATGACAATGTTAGCAATTTCATGATCTAAACATCTGGGGTTTACCTTCTCTTTCAATAAGCTTGGTTATTCAGACACAAATGCATGTTGGCATACGTTGCATTTACTGGCTGCTATGCGTTAGAAAGTGTTGTTAAATAAGTAGTGCCCCGAGAAGCATCAGGAGTCTATGCAAGCCACACCTTAAACTCCACCGCCTCGATATCTAAACCTCAGTGGGTTCTGAAACCGTGGCACTGTTGCAAGATTTTGAGTAAGACGGCACTTTTCTCAGCCCTGTTGTGCTCAATACAAAAAGGCCTAAGTTGCTGGACACTCAACAGTTACCGAAGGTCAACCTGAGACAGTGGCTGTGGGTTTGTTGTCTTGGACCAACAAAAATTAAAGACACAGCATCTTTTGGGAATTGGTACAATGAAAGCAAGCTTTAGTGAAGAATGACACAAAAATGAGAAATTGCGAGATTAAAGAAAAATGAAGCTTCCGGAGAAAGGCAAGGACTTCAAAGTGGTGGGGTAGGGGTGCTACGGATTTCTTTGTTACAAGTTGTTATGACTTCATCACAGAAATCTGACCAAGGCTGAGGTAAGCTGTATTGAGATTGGTCAATTCTCTGGGCTATGGTGGGCCAGAGCCAATAGGGCTTGTCTTTCTGCGCCAAACAGAGATGACTATGATCTCTGTTCATGGGATGCTGACCCTGTTTGAAGTCTTATTCTGTCCACTTCTGGCTCCATCTTTGCTGGGTTTTTAGCCTGATGCCATTGGTCACTTGGTCTGAATCACCACCCTCTGACCTCTGCAGGTGTCTCAGGTGTTGCTAATTACACTAAGTTCTCTTTGTTCCCACATTTGCATGCTAAGCATGTAGCTTCACTGTGGAAAAGAGTTAACTTGATCATAGCCAACATGCCAGGGCTACAGGTTTTCTTAGATAACCCACCTTTAGCTCCTACCTAAGGGGTGGTCTGAGGGGATCCCCTGGTCAGATACCTCTTGTGAGAAGCAATGCTTACTGGTAATTTAATCTGGTTACCAACAGCTGCATTAGAAGCAAGAATATAAGAAAGGGCAATAGAACCTATCATGGCCCTCACAGGCTTTGGGGATTTGTCGAGGGAATAGCTATTTCTGCCCGGATCCTTGTTCCCCCCTTCTCAGTTGTTAGGCTTGGTCTCTTACCTCAGTATTCCAAACATTCCTTTGCTAATCCTGAATATTCCTTTTAACCTTATCCCCTGTTTGTGCTGACACGTGAACAATTTAGGAGTATTTATCGTGGCTGCTTTCCTCTTACCTCCTGCTTCAGAGCCTCCTTGGCTCTTCCTGGTTAGGAAACAGCTATTTTTGATTGGTAGTTATGAGACACAGTTGCAAGTCTCAGCTGCCAGGTCCAACTTGTCAACAGGGTTACCCATACCATCTTTCCCCAGAGCACAAAAAAACCCTTAATGATGGTTTCACATCCAAGAAGATGGAAGATATCACCTTCACACCTTTTCCATGCTGCTTCAAGCCTTCAGAATACCTTTCTCCAACCTCACCAGGTCCCCGTCACATCCACATCCACAGTCCCCACTTTGATGAACTCTAGTGGTCACAAGGCCTGGCTTTTCCTCGATCATCAGGGTGAAGTCACTTACACATGAGCCAGCGTCCTAAACATCACTGGTAAGCTCTGCCACACCAGGGCTTTTGGAACTGCAAGACCACCCCAAAGGCATGTGACATCCCTCACTCCTTCCCTGCAAGGTCCCCATTACCTACCTACCTGTTAGACATACCCTGGGCTTGATGCAGACGGAACAGAGAACAAGGCTGCCTCTTGTAATGCTGGGCAGACTTCTGCCTAGAACTTGCACAGTTTGGCTCCGAGGTCTCAGGCAAGTTCTCTCGCCTACCCCAGACAGTTTGTAAGAACTGGCCCAAAATACAAGCAGCGATCCGGTGCACCTAGCTATTGAACTTAAAGCGGGCCTTGAAGGCTGGCCAAGTAGCAGATTAGGAAGCACTGAAGAGACATGGAAGCTTTATAATAAGGAGATACTCATCAGCTGCTGGAGAAAAGTGAGGAAGGGGTCCAGGAAACTTGCTCAGGAAATGCAGGTTCGGTGACTACGGTGCAAAGGATCAGCAGTGGACACCTGTACAAGGTCTGTGTGCTGATTCCCAACTTCTAGAGTAGAGGCGGGAGGACCACCCAGCATCCTTCATGTACCTTCACTCGGCTCCCTCAAATATCCTGTCTTTTCTACATATCTACAAGTTGTATCAGGAAGCAATATGTTATTTCTATTTTGCCGTCGCTTTTATTTTTGTGATGGCGCTGGGAATTGAACATAGGGCCTTGTGCTTGCCATGTAAGGGTTCTATAACTGGGCTAGACTTAGCTGACTTTTAAAACAAAGTTAACATGTTATTTTTATTGTTAGTAATAGTAATAATATGCTCATTAACTTTCCCTATAATGCATTACAACTAGAAATACGTCGACTTGAATGTGGCCTTTGCACCTATTTCCAAACAAGAAAATTCTTCACACCTTTAAGGCATGGGTATGAAAATGAGGGACTATTAGCATCCTAGCATCACCTGCTGACATCGTCCCACAAGACCTTCCACACCTGGGGACTCAAGGAGACTCCTTAGTACCTTGCTGCACCCAAGTATCTGCAGTCACTCACTGCTTCAGGTGCCTGAATTGCCAGCACAGAGGCTTGAATCCAGCCCTCAGACTGTCAAACGAGCATGGGAAATGGTACAAGGAACTGGCAGTGGGGAGCTGATACTCAAGGGCACCCACACTATCTCAGAAACTGTCCACTACTGAGTGAGATCGGGAAAAAGTGAGCACCTGCCTTGAGATGGCTTTTCCTTCATTGGTAGAGATGTACATCATCTGTAGCTACTCAGAGGTGAAAGCTCATTGCCCTTTCAACCAATGGTGAGAGGCACAGGCTGGACTCTGAAAGGGGCAGTGAAGTGAAGGACTCTTAAAGCAGCCGGTAAGGGAAATTTATATTTTCTTTAGGGGAGAAGAAACATTTTCTTAAGCCAAAAATAGTGAATACAACTTTCTCATGAGCAGAAATAACAAGTAGAAACCTGATGCCTTGGACTTACCTTGTTTCTAAGGCCCTTTGACCTTTTGTGGATCCTGACTAGAAACTCAGTTTAGAAGCATATCTGTAGTGAGATAGTCCTTCTGTGGCACTGACCATGCCCATTGGGGGGTGGAGCCATGGGCGGAAGTGACCTGTGGAAGGAAGTCGGAGGGGAGCTGGGAGAAGCTCTCTTGCTGGTGTGACTCGGTCAGGAGAGGATCGGGTTGAATTTCCTGGTGTTCATCTGTCTAGGTTGTAAGTTATTTCTCCCTGAATAAACATCTATTCGGCCTATTTGTTTATCCTGATCCTTATTTAACCGCGAAACATATCCTGTCTTTGCCACTCTCAAGCAAGTGGATCTGGCTTACCTGATTTTCTGTGTTGCTTAACACAGGGTCTCATCCCAGGCTGACCTCAAACACCCTTGTAGTTAAAGAGAACCGAACTTCTGATCCTCCCTCCTCTACCTCCCTAGTCTCAGTGTTACAGGTGTGTGCCACCAATGCACATTTACTTAGTCCTGGTGATGGAAGCCAGGGCCTCCTCCTTACTAGGAAAGTATCTTACTAACTAAGCTACATCCAGAGCCCATGAGATTCCATAACTAAACTTGTAAAATAAACACACCTTTCACATGATAGTATAATTTAGGGTGACACAAAGTGTCTGGCAGCCACTAAATGGAAGCTTGATGGCATAAAGGGTACTAAGAAAGGCAACAACATCTGCCTTGGGTTCTTCCTACATCCACATACCCACAAATGACCCGGTGCATGCCCTAAAATAATCCCACTTAATGAAATAGTACCATCTCCCTACTTCACCTGTCCAGGTGTATTGAAATATCCGCGGTATAGATAGCCTCTATAGATACTAACAAACTTCATTTGGCCTTTGGGATTTTTCTTCCGGGAAAAGCACAATGGGACTGGTGAGAGTGAGAGCTGTAAACAAATTAGGTAACGACTCCCTCTAGGAAATTACCTGCTGGCATGATCCCCTCTTTGATTTTTCTGGCACAACACATGATCCCAAAAGATTACAAGTACTTTAGAAATGGAGAAATTTTTTTTATTATTATCATCATCATCACATTTGGGCATGCATATGCCCCCACCACCACCACAGTATGCCTGGAGAGGTCAGAGGGCAAGCAGGAGTTGAGTAATGGTTCACTCCACTGAGTGTTTCAGGGATCCAACTCAGGTCAGGCTTGTGTACGGCAAGCACTTTTTCCAGCTGAGCTATCTTGCTGGCAATGTTTTTCTTACTGATGAGAGCAGCTGCATAACTTCAAAACAACTCGAATGCTAGCAGCTTTTACCACTAACTTAGTTTTATCTATTGCCAGTACCACTGTTTAGCTGATAAAACAAGCCAGATGTTTTTGCCTTGATGTAGGTAGTAGTACCAGGCATAGGGAAAGGTAAAGATGTAAATGCTCACATTTAGAGATGAGCCACCTCACTATGGATTTTTATTGATCAATGGATGGATGGATTAATGGCTCTAAAGGTGGCATTGGGCCACTGAGCTACTTAGAGTCATGAATACCTTTCATAACCTAGTCTCCAGCATCGTTTTTCTTTGATGGGCTTCCCTTAAATTATTCCCTTATACATTTTTCTTTTAAATAATTCTTATAACAAATAATAACCGTGATAGTTTTTATTGAATATGCCCTTAAGGATATCAGAAAATTTAGATGTCTCTGAAATTTTCAGTTCCAAAATTAGGATGTTTATGTGAGACACAAAGATTTTTTTAATTTTATATATATATATATATATATATATCCAAAGACTCAAAGTTATTTACTCAGTGAGTATTTCTTCCTCATTAATAGGTGTCTCAGCGAATTCCTCATCAACCATGGGCACCTCATTCATTTCCTCAATAGGGATATCCTCATTGTCCAGTTGCTCATCCAACTGCTCAGGAGAGAGAAAGGCTGCTGTTTCATCGGGAGAAAGGAAGGTTGTTTCCTCCTCGGGAGGAAGGAAGGATGAATGCTTGGTAGGAGTTAAGAAAGTTGCTGGCTCCTCGGTTAAGACTGTTTGATGGGAGCTTCCAGGATAATCCGTAGATTTAGATTTTGACTTTTGGGTGCTGGGTCGCCTCAACTCTGAAGAAGTGTTGCCCCAATATGAGCTGCTCTCTGCACTTTTCGAAAAAGATGTATCAGATACACCTTCTGATGGGTGGAAATAAGACAGAGTTGCCAGCTCTGGGTTGACAGTGTATTGACTGACATAACTTTTGTCACTAGAAAGAAGAGAACACACATCAGGAGTTATCTTCAATTGTGTTTACTTGTAACTCAAATTGGAACAGTTAAAATAGAAATGTGTCCTGTCCCATGTATTAGTTAAATAATGTAAATGGTAAAGTTTTTTTTCCATTGTAGTTGTATTTAATCCTTGTGTAAATGGCCCATAAATGCCTAGTGTATACAGCCTGTTTCAAAACTCAATATTAAAATTTAAAAGCCAACAATAAAGGTTGCCTGAATTAATAAGCTTAACAAGAAACATAAAATGAAGCTGAATTAGGGAAAATAAACAACATTACAGTTCTAATGGGTTGGAGAAGTACCTCATCAAAGCACTACAGTCAAAGAATAAAATTAATGATAATAGTGAAAACCAAAAAGTAATTCTGTGGAGATTTAAAGTAATTTATGATACTGTACAAAAAAGAAGTTGTAATATATGTATATATATGTATATATGTATAAATATGCATATATATGTTAATAGATATATTTCTTTTTAGTTATTTTTTTTTCACAAAATACATCCCAACTGTAGTCTTCCCTCCCTCCACTCCTCCCAGTTTTCCCCCACCTCTCCTTTCCCTCAGATCCACTTCTCCATTTCCCTTCAGAAAAGAGCAGGCCTCCCAGGGACAGCAACTGAACATGGCATAACAAGTTATAATAATAAGTCTAGCTATAAACCCTCATATCAAGGCTGGATGAGGAAGAGGGTCCCAAGTGCAGCAAAAGAGCTGGGGGTGGGAGGGGTGTGTGGTGTGTGTGTGTGTGTGTGTGTGTGTGTGTGTGTGTGTGTGTGTGTGTGTGTTTCCCCACAGGGTTTCTCTGTGTAGCTCTGTAGAACATGCTGGCCTCAAACTCACAGAGATCCTCCTGCCTCTGCCTCCCAAGTGCTGGGATCAAAAGTGTGCACCACCACCACCCAGCCTAGGAGTCATATTTTTATAAGATAAATGTTTCTTTTAGACAAATGTCTAGGCAGACTTTCTGTCTCTTTCAAGGTCTTAAGCAAAACTTTAAAACATTAAACCCAAAGCAAATGAACTAATTAGAAGAAAATAAATGGCTTTTGTGCTCCAGCGCTATTTTTCAGGGATGCAGAGGGAGGAAGCATTATCTCTATATCCTTCCTAATCAACTGTGAGCTTATTTATGACTATTTAAAACACAGGGCCCACGTTTCTAATGCATAGAGGAAGTGAATTTGAGCTGCATATCTTATACATTACCTAAGAGGATACACATTCCTATCAATCCACTAAAGACAGGAGGGTGAGAACATGACCTCATAGTCTAGTGCTGAAGACTGCAGAGGCCAGGAGGCTTACCTTAGGTGTCTCAGTTTGTACAGTGTAGCAAAACAAAATATCAAGAGGGGAATTAAGAGGATAAGGGTCATCAGTGAGATTCCCAGCATTAATTTGAGCTTGATTTCCTCTAGCTCTGACAGTTTGTCTTCATTGGTAGTGTTCAAATCAGAGCCTGGGAGGAAAGAAAGAAAATACAACGGAAAATTGAGCGTTGGGCATGTTTTCCTTGAGGAATAAGGATAACAATATATCTGTAGTACTCATAGTTCACTCTTCCTACTCCAAACAATGGCAAAGAAAAGGCCACTTGTTTGTTTGTTTGTTTGATCCACATACACAGTTTTTCTCTCTAGTCCTCACAACAATATTGGAGGAGATGTGCTTAATGGCATTTTATACACTCACAGAAGTTTGTAAATCTTCTGCTAATCAAAATGTGGTTTTAAGCCCAAGTTTAAAATTTTTGTGTAGCAGCCTTTCTTCCTGGCTTTACAAGAAACCACTTTAAGCAACTTATTATCTCTGAAGAGTTATTAGAGCAATTTACAATGTGCTGGTTCTACAGAAAGGAAAGGTGTGTGCCCTGCTGTTGGGCACACAATAGTTGGAACTAGAAGTGTGTAATATTGATGGTTTCCTCTATGAGGCTTAGGAGATAAGTATGCCATTTTGTTACCAAGACTATTAAACAGTGTGCTTGGTGTTACAAGAAGAAATAGAAATGATTTTTTAGATTCCTGAAATGAGCTAAATCACAAAATTATGTCTGGCTCAAGAGACATTAAGAATCTAATAAAATCCCATAAAAATATTTTCTTACTGTCAGATTTTGGATAGTCATGAGAACAAATCTGCCTTAAAATATATTTAATGTTGATAGTTCCCTTCTCACAGCTCTCCCACGTCCCATGCCCACTCACAGTATTCCCAGGGCCTTTGTTACTTTGTAGGAAATACTTAGGTAACAATCAATGACAAAGATTCCCATGACAATCTTCTCTAACTTTTAAACATGTTAATTATTGTGCCTGGGGGTATAGCCAAGTAGAGCTCTTGCTAGCATGCTGAAAGGTCTAGGTTTAGTCCCTGATACCAACAAAGAGAAAAACTTGTATCTCAGTGTGATCTTAAACCAAGTGGAAATGAAATGTGTACAGTTGTCAATGAGATTATTTTTGGATGTTGAGACCAATTTAGGAATAATCAAGTAGATTATATTAAAATGAACTGCTCCCCCCTTAAATGTAGTTCCTAAAGCCTTTTTTTTTTTTTTTTGAGACAGGATCTCATTGTATAGCTCTGGTCATCCTGAAACCCAGCTCCCAAGAGTCTTTATAACTAGGTATGTTCTTGACATTAACTCATAGATCATCTAGCTGCTGTTTTGTCTTCCAGAAATCAAACTACATTCCCTGTCTTAAAGAGAGAGACAGAGACAGAGAGAATTACAGAGAACTGCTGTGACCTTGTAGCTCTCGCTGAATTGTTTTCTGACCCTCCTCTCTTGCATGTAAAAAGCACTGTCTCCTGATACCTAAGCACAAGACAACCTTGAACCATAACTTTATTCTCTTGACGAGAGCCTTTCTCTCTTCTAGGAGCCACATAGCTTAGGCCACACAAAATGGATGGGAAGGAAATTTATCTTCTACCCAGCCCTAAACCTGTAAGAGTCAGAGACAGATATTGGGGTCCAAGCTTCAAGCTGAAGAACAGAGAAGCAAAGCAGGCAAACCACTAGCTCTTACCTCTACCGCAGCTCAGACCAAAGGAGTGATCCTCAGACTGCTCATGCTTTTCACTGCTCTTCAGATTCACTCAGACTGTTATGCTCTCCTCAACCAGGCTAGAGACTACTAATCCTGGGACTGGGTGCTTCTACTTTTTAGCCCTCTCTAGTGCTAGGATTAAAGGCATGTGATCCCAAGTGCTGAGATCACTTTTGTGTAAGCTGTTTCTCACTATGACTGGATCAGTTTCATGTAGTTCAGTGTGGCCTTGAATTAACAGAGATCTGTCTGTCTTTATCTCCTGAGTCCTGGAATTAAAGGCGTGTGCCACTTCTGCCTGGCTTGCTAGTATAGCTGCTGGGTTAAAGGTGTGTGTATCACCATTGTCTGATCTCTATGGCTGTGGCTGGCTTTTGCTTTACAAATCCTCAGGCAAGCTTTAATAAATCGTAAATAATATATCACCACAAGATACTCCAGATCTGAAGGAAGCTGATGAAACTGGAGGGTCTTGTTCTTTAAAACTCCTCATAGCTGCCTATGGCCAGGGTGCTATATCTCTCTTGATATTCCAGAAACTGAAGGATCTGTGTCCTTTCAAAGCCTTGTCATGGCCATCTACCTATGGACCATGATGCTATTTCTCCTAATTGCTTTTCACTTCCAGGCCTCCTCATGGCTGCCTAGGACTATCCTAACAAAGGGCATCTGAGGATAATTTGCCACAGTCTTCCTTTCCCACACATCCCTCACTCTTCCTAACATAGAACATTTACCAAAGTCAAAGCCAGAACTAGAGGAGGTTTTAGAATGTCTAACCACTGGAAGTTATAGAAAGTTAACTGCAGGTTTGGGCTGGCTTTTTCTTTATGTCTCAATTTCTTCATAAAACGGACTTGGTGGAAAAACTGACATAATGTGGCTAAAACACCAGAATGCTGCATATATAGTGTGCCTTCAATAAATGGTAGAAAACAGGCAACTCCAAGTTCAGTCACTTATAGGCTAAGCAGAGAGAGATAACAACATATTTCTAAGGTGGCTCACCATTTGTCATCCTGCATATAAAAAAGACTCATTCCATCTTCTTAAGCAGCTCCAAGGTAAGGGCTATGTGACAAATAATTCTCTACAGAACTGAGCAGACAGAACTCAGATATGCCAACAAATTTATCTATTTTCCAATTATTTACTTGTAGGATAAAAGGTTTGAGAAAAACTGAAACATTGTCTTTTAATTAGGAGTTTAGTTTCTGGTAGCCAAGCCAGGAGACTCACAACCACCTGTTACTCTAGTTCCAGGGGATGTGACACCTTCTTCTGGCCTCCACAAGCACCTGCACACATGTGATGCACGCTTGTGTGAGCGTGCGCATGCACGCGCGCGCACACACACACACACACACACTCTTAACATTAAGAATATATAAACCAAAGAATCGTGGAATAAGGGAATTCTGTGCTTTTTGCTATGGTTTTCTTTAAATTTAAAACTTTAAAGCCTATTTTTAAAAGACATATATATATGTATATATATATATATATACACACATATATACGTATATAACATTATATATATTAGTGACTTGCCTATCTTAATCTGTTTCAACATTGTAAGTCAGAAGACGGGGAGTTGATAACAGTTATTGGTAAAAGGGCAACAAGAATTCTTGGTAAGTCTAATTGTCTAATGTAGTCAATGTCCTCCTTGATGTGGCATTAACCACCTGCACTCTCCAATACACATTCACTACCCTTTGCTATGAGACATTGTTTCACAATACTGCCACTAAAATTCAGATAATATTCATGTATCTGTTATTTGAAATACCTAGATCTTACCTGGAATTGGTTGGAAGAATAGATCTTTATCATCCATGCTCACTGATGTCCCATTTATAGCTGTTAAAACAGTATGTTGATGTTATAAGTAATATTCACTTAATAAATATTTTGCATGTGTATAAAGGCATGTGTGTAGTATGTGAAGTCTGTTCTTATTATTCATAGTAGTACCGTTTTGTAAAGGGAACATCTCTATAAATTTTGTTCGAAAGAGCTTATCTACTACATATGTATTTTCCATAAAGTCCATTATAGTATTTAGGGATATTAACAAACCATTTACTACTATGCTTAGGAGCCAGTTCAAGGTATGACTGTCAGGAACCTGTCAGGCAACTAAAAACATTTGAAACTGTGTCAATATTGACAAATGATCTTGAAGGTTCTACAAATATTGATTTTTAAGTTAACAGAGATCTTAGACTCAAGTAGAAATACTGAATATGTAAATAAACAATATACAAATAATAATGGTTAAGTAAATATGATTATATTTCATTTTATAATGCATGTATATGATGCATATATTATATATGTTAATCATGTTAATATGTACATCTGTATCTGCACAGAATATATGCAGGTATAGATTGATCTGTGGATTGTACTATGCATGTATATTTGTGTATTTGTGCTATTTACATTACTTTCATGCACAAACATACCATGATACTTTAAACTTATATGTGCATCTTTGTGTGTTTATGCACATGTTGCCCCAAACATGAAGGGACCACACTGGGAAAAATATTGCTTAAAATGATGAATCATAGTAGACTTTTTTGAATCACTTATGTAAACTATCATATCATCTGCAAATAGTGACAGTTTGATTTCTTTCTTTCCAATTTGTATCCCCTTGATCTCCTTTTGTTGTCTTATTGCTCTAGCTAGGATTTCAAGTACAATATTGAAGAGATATGGAGAGAGTGGGCAGCCTTGTCCTGTTCCTGATTTTAGAGGAATCACATTGAGTTTCTCTCCATTTAGTTTGATGTTGACTGTTGGTTTACTGTATATTGCTCTTATTATGTTTAGGTATGTTCCTGTTATCCCTGATCTCTCCAAGACCTTTATCATGAAAGGGTGTTGGATTTTGTCAAAGGCTTTTTCAGAATCTGGTGAGATGATCATATGATTTTTCTTTTTCAGTTTGTTTATATGGTGGACCACATTGATACACTTTCATATGTTGAATCTTCCCTGCATCCCTGGGATGAAGCCTACTTGGTTGTGGTGGATGATTTCTCTTATATGTTCTTGGATTTGATTTGCCAGTATTTTATTGAGTATTTTCGCATCAATGTTGATAAACACCTTCAGCAAATTAGCAAATACAAGAGTAACTTTAAAAAAAAGTCAGTAGCCCAACTATATATAGATAATAAAGGGGCTGAGAAAGAAATCAGAAAAACATCACCCTTTACAATAGCTACAAACAACATAAAATATCTTGGGGTAATACTAACCAATCAAGTGAAAGACCTATATAGCAAGAACTTTGTATATTTAAAGAAAGAAATTAAAGATGGTACCAAAAAATGGAAAGATCTCCCATGCTCTTGAATAGGTAAGATAAACATAGTAAAATCTTGCCAAAAGCAATATACAGATTCAATGCAATCCCTATCAAAATCCCAGCACAATTTTTCACTGACTTTGAAAGGATAATACTCAACTTTATATGGAAAAACAAAAGACTCAGGATAGCCAAACAACCTCGTACAATAAAGGAATTTCAGGAGGCATCACCATCCCCAACTTCAAGCTCTAATATAGAGCTATAGTCCTGAAAACTGCTTGGTACTGGCATAAAAATAGGTAGACCAATGGATTTTAATTGAAAATCCTGATATTAACCCACACACATACAAACACCTGAATTTTGACAAAACAGCTAAAAGTGTACAATGGAAGGAGGAAAGTATCTTCAACAAATGGTGCTGGCACAACTAGATGGTGGTTTGTAGAAGACATCAGATAGAACCATGTCTATTGTCATGCACAAAACTTAAGTCCAAATGGATCAAAGACCTCAACATAAATCCAGCCACCTTGAACCTCTTAAAAGAGAAAGTGGGAGGTATCCTTGAACAAATTGGTATAGGAGACCCCTTCCCGAACATAACATCAGTAGCACAGACACTGAGATCAACAATTAATAAATGGGATCTCCTGAAACTGAGAAGCTTCTGTAAGGCAAAGGACACAGTCGACAAGACCAAATGGCAGCCCACAGATGGGGAAAAGATCTTTAACAATCCCACATCCAACAGAAGGCTGGTTTCCAAAATATACAAAGAATTCAAGAAACTGGTCACCAAAACACCAAATAACCCTATTAAAAAGTGGGGTACAGAACTGAATAGAGAATTCTCATTGAGAAATCCAAAATGGTTGAAAGACACTTAAGAAAGTGCTTAACATTTTAGCCATCAGGGAAATGCAAGTCAAAACAACTCTGAGATACTATCTTACTCCTGTCAGAATGGCTAAAATTAGAAACACCAATGACAGCTTATGCCGGAGAGACTGTGGAGAAAGGGGAACACTCCTCCACTGCTGGTGGGAGTGCAAACTTGTACAACCATTTTGGAGATCAATATGGCAGTTCCTCAGGAAAATGAGAATCAACCTACCACAAGACCCGGGAATTCCTCTCTTAGACATATACCCAAATGACCCACATCCATGCAACAAAGACATCTGTTCAACTGTGTTCATAGCAGCATTATTTGTAATAGCAAAAATCTGGAAGCAACCTAGATGCCCTCAACTAAAGAATGGATAAAGAAGATGTGGTACATTTACACAATGGAATACTACTCAGTGGCGGGGGGGGGCACAATGGAATCTTGAAATTTGCAGGCAAATGGATGGAACTAGAAGAAACCATCCTGAGTGAGGTAACCCAGTCACAAAACGAGGAACATGGTATGTACTCACTCATATATGGATTTTAGACATAGAGCAAAGGATCATCAGCCTATAATTCATACCACCAGAGGAACTAGGATACAAAGAGGAACCTAAAAGATTCATACAAGGTCCCTCACAGAAGGGGAAAGGAACAAGATCTCCTGAGCATATTGGGAGTTTGGGTGGGGGCAGTGAGTGGAGAGGGAGCTAGGAGAAAGAGAAGGGGAGGAGAGGAAAGTACGTGGGACTAGGAAGCTTGAATCAGGGGAGGAATAGATGAGAGGAAAAAAAGAGAGAGATACCATAAAAGAGGGAGCCATTATAGGTTTGAAGAGAAAACTGACTCTAGAGAAATTTCCAGAGATCTACAAGACTGACCCCAACTAACAATTTGAGCAACAGTGGAAAGGCTACCTTAAATGTCCTTCCTTGATAATGAGATTGATAATTATCTTATATGCCATCATAGAGTCCTAGTAGCTAAACACTGAGCCGAACTCCTGGAATCCAGTTGCAGAGATGGAGGAGTGATAAGAAAGGGGGTCAAGACCAGGCTACAGAAACACACAGAGACAGCTGACCTGAACAAGGGGGAGCTCATGGAACCTCAGACTGACAGCTGGGAAACCAGCACCATACTGACTCAGACCTCCTGAACATGGGTCTCAGTTATAAGGCCTTGGCAGTCTATGGACCTCTGACAGTGGAACCAGGATGTATCCCTGGTGTACAAAAGGACCTTGGGAGCAAATTCCCCATAGAGGGTTATTCCCTTAGCCTAGAGGCAGGAGGGAGGGCCGAGTCTCTACACCAAATGACTTGACAGATTTTGATGACCCCTCCTGGAAGGCATCACCCAGTGGGGGCAGAAAGGGGTGGGAGGGGGTTGGGGGAACATGAGAGGGAGAGAGGAAGGGAAGGAGGGAGAGGGAACTGGGATCAATATGTAAAATAAGAACATATATATATATATATATATATATATATGAATCACGGACTTAGTTGAATGGTTTTTATCTGGGCTCATCTGTTTCTTGAGTCAAAGTTACAAAACAGGAAGATCATGATAGTTACTTACAGCATAAGGAAAAGAAAACCAACTCCTCTATACCAGCAAGTGTCCTCTCTGATTTAAGGTACACTCTAGACTATTAAATTTGTTGGAGGATATACTTCTGGGTACAGAAGAAGCAGATACTGCAGCCTTATCATTTCTCTGCATATTATATTTGCTATTACAAGGGGCAATAAACATGAACTTATCATTATCAGAAATATTTAGACTGGTCTTGTCTTTCTTATGTAAAATATTAGAAAATTACTATAAGTATAAATGTTAGAAATATTTCCCCAGTTTCCCAACTGAATGAATTTACCTTTAGCTAACATTGTCCAAAATGCAGGCACATTGGGGGTTGATGCTGTTCAAAAGAGATAATGGGTAACAGATGAGAATCTATTGTCTACAATTACACACTCACTCAAAAACCTTAGGAGAGTTATTTTGGATTGTTATGGCTTCAAAAATACTTTATAAGAACAATGATCTTGGCAAGAAAATAGAATGGTGATTTTGAGTTTGTAGCCTCCCATTCCCAAGACCCTTCCTCAAATAATATTAGGAAACATTAATCATTTTGACCAGAGATACATTTATTCCTCAATAAAATAGAAAATTTTACATTGGCATGAAAATATTAAAATATACCCAATATACTTATTGTAGCAAGATCTAAATATTTATAAATGTATTATATATTTATATGTCTATTTAAAAGTTCAGTTCTGTGGCTGGTCAGGTTCCTCTGAAAATGGACTCTTACATATTTGTCACTTAAAAGACTCCAGGGTGACTCTACATGATATCAGTATGGATTCTTTAGGCATGCTATTCATTTATGTCATGTTCAGAGCAGTGAAAGGTAATTGAATAAGTTATATAATAATATACTCCAGATATCAATACAGTTTAGTAGTTTTAATACTTTGTATATTTTTACGAGAGGGTTCATTAGATTTGTCTTCATCTTCATTGATAGATTTTTCAGCTGTAGTTGCATTGATGAGTTTATCTAGGAAAAGAGATAAAGAATTTTCAGCACATTAAAACATTGACCAAATGCCTGGGTCATTTCCTTACAATTTCCATATTGTAAGGCTACGAATGAAACAAAGGCAAGGAGAGAATTTTTTTTTTTAATCAGAAATGAGGAGTGAGAAGGAAGACACTGGAGAATAGTGTCTTTCATGATGATGGGATGCTTAAAGAAGGACTAATATATCTGTGCTCTACGAAAGAGAGGAAAAGCACAGAACCCAAGCCTTTAGAGGTAACAGTAAACTATTGGCTAAGATAGCTGGCTTCTGCAGGCTCACTACATAGGCCTTAGTATAAATCTCAGCCTAGGACGTGTCCATGTGGTCATATCACTAAGTGTTTGGGCTGTATTAATTAACTGAACAAAATAGTAGCATAAAGTCCATATGGAATACTACCCCACTAAAGGGGGATTTCTATGGAGGGGCAGAATTAATCCACAGAACCTACAAATCCATTACAGATATCCTGTTAATGAGAAAGGGTAGAAATGGGAACCTATTACTGAAATAAACATTCAGACAGGACTCAAAACAGTTGAATAATCCAAGGTACAATGCAGACTCAAATTCCTACTAAGGAGAAGAACATCCAGGTGCCTCCGTTTACCCCATTCTCCATAGAGCATTGGAGACTATGCTCAAGCAATTTAACATTAGTGAAAGCTATCCTAGAGTTCACTGTTTGATAGGCTAGCTCTTCTGGAATGTTCTTACAAGGCCCACATGTAGAAGGCACAAAGTTTTATTCCATGCCAACTTGTTTGACGGTCATCTAGTTGTGGGGTTGGAATCTAGGGCTTGGCATCTCCTCCTTGAGCCTTGTGGTTTTTTAGAAACTCAATGTAGGAAATTTGAGGTGTCTGGAATACTTAAGAGTCAGCTAACTTATCCTACACAACTCAAGATGTTTGCTCTGTACAAGCAAGATGTCCCTGGTAGTTTAAGTTTATCCTAAAAGTGTGACTGCCACAAGGCCTGGAATTGCTCAAATGCTCCATCAGTGTCAAGTAAATTTATTAATAATTATACATTCATGAGTCTGGGCCAGTATTAAAATTATAATAGCCAGTAAGAGCCACTTTTTTGCTATTTCACACCATTCAAAGAATAAAAGAGGAAAGAAATCCCACAAATAATTGGTTCAAGATAAGTAAAGCCTAGAGTCCTAAATTTAGTTAATGTTTCTTTTCATGTAAACTAGAAAACATGAGCTTTAGCAATGAGAGACTCCCATCTGCCTCTTCTGGAACAATGGTCACTGTAATGGTCATGGAGCTTCACAAAAAAAAAATGTTATGGAAGAAAATTTAGAAAAAACAGGAGATGACATAATTCTGTTGGCTTCCAGCAGCACAAGATGAACTGGAGAGGGGACCTCTTAGGCCTCACCCCTTTCCCTGGGGCTGTTCTGGGGTTTTCCCCCAAGGTCATACATGTGTGGCACAAATGTACATTCAGTACTTACAGTTCTTCAGAGCAAACTTCAGGTCAGTTGTGGCACTCACAGATATTTCAGACTCCGTGCCATTCGTATTTTGTGTGGTAAACACATCTACAAACATAAAATCACAAGTCTGTAGCAACCAGTATAACAATGTGTGCTCATTATTTTTTTAAAGTGTCCCCTGAATAATGAAAAAGTAATTATGAACAAAAAATATTACTTTTTCAATGGAAGTGGATGGAGCAAAGGACAAGCTGAAAACTTATAAGTAAAAAAAATCAATTATGATAGATAATTTTGAGAAACAAATATATACATATTTTCAATGAATTTTCTCAATAAGATGCCAAACTCAATTTAGAGGAAAAAAATGTCACTTAATCTTAACCCAGTACTTCAGAAAATGAGATAGGACTAGACATGGAATTGTGAAAGTATAATTCAGCCAAAACCAGATTGGAGTAGGGTGTGCTCCTAATTGGGTTTGACTGATGTTATTATACAAGAGGGAAGTCCGCATACAGGAACAGGGAGAATATTACATGAAGATGGTGATGATGCCACAAGCCAAGGGACACCTGAGCCACCAGAAGCTGAAGGAAGCTCAGAAGTATTCTCAACCTTTGGTTTGGATGGAGACCTTACCTGATTGGTTCTACTTTGATTTTAGACATCCAGCCTCTAGAATTATAGGAAAATAGTTTTCTATTGTCCTTGTCTTCCTAAATCATGATACTTTGCTTTGGCAGCTTTAATAAATGGATCCATACCTCAAAGTAAGTTTTGACTAACTTACCATCAAATTAGGTCAGATTTTACTAAAGTTTGATAATGCCACGATGAACCACAATAGACAGAAATAGTAGCAAAGATAGCCTTATAATATTTCATAACACCTCATGAAATATGTAAGAAAAAAGGCTTTAATTTTTACATATTGATATGTCTATAAAGTAAATTAGAATTTCAAAACTGGGAAATAAAATGCTGAGAGATTACAAGGCAGGTTTAAGGAAAACCAAAGCAGTGTAATCATACATATTACTAACTTTAAAAACTTACATTGTTTTATATCTTTGTAATAATTGCCAGTTTTCTCATTAGCAGGAGTATTATCTGCATTTTCTTCTGATTTATGTAAAACAGGATTAGCATCCATATTTTTTTCATCTTCACGAACAGGAGCATTATTATTGGCCAGATTTTCATCATCTGAATAGTACTGTTCTTCATCTGAAGGCATCACGTTAGATTCCTCTAAAAAAGAAAACACGATACACTGTGGAACAAAGTATGTTAATTTTCTCTATTGCTTTCTCTCCCTGAGATTTTATTTTTCACAATTAGAAACTGGAATTTAGAAGTTAAATTATATTACATCTCCAACTTTCAACCACCCTGCAGAAAATATACTGAATTTCTGTGACTGAGGATTGACTATTGATTGACTAATTTTAAATGTTTACTTACGTTCTACATGAAACTGTAGATCGCTAATGTCTGGGAGAAAAACCCCAGACAAAAAGATAAACAATATAAAATCCATTGAGAAATTGATGTGATTTATCCGGCAATCTACTGTCTCCTCAGGGCTTCCTTCTTATGGCCCAGCAGGCCCTAAGACTCAGTAGGACATTATGACATCACTGTTCGTGGGAAACAGAATGCCAGGGGAATGCCTAGAGCTTTGTGACCCCATCTTATGACCGTTTCCTTTTTGGTGTTACAATAGTTTTAGTTTTTAAAAATAAATTTAAAATTTTTTCTTTAAAATATAACAAATGTGTTTTCACAAAAATAGTGTTAGTTATTGGCCCATGAATTATAAATGATCAGTCTTGTTGATAATGGAATAAAAACTTTTGGAACTTGGATAGCTGCAATCTGCAAAAGATAAAACAACAACACAAAACTCTAGTCAGAGAAAGCAAAACTCAAAAAATCCAAATGCCCTACAAGTTCTCATTCATAAACTCTTTGACTATTGTTCTTTAAGAAACGTTTTATAAAACATCTTTCCTATTTTAAGAATTTTTTCATCAGATATAGCATATTTGTTTTGTTTAATACATCTTTTTCAATGAGGTCCAACTTCTACTTCACATTTCAATTGAGAAAATTATCCAATAATACTTAGCTAGTTAAAAGGTGACTCCAGTATGACTAGCCTTATGCATGGATTACTTACATAATAACAATTAATGAGCAAGAAAAGACAGAGAATGGATTGACATTATTACAGAATCACCTAAACTTGAAGTACACTACCTTTAATTATTATTGATGATAATCCCTACACATCAGATGATACACTTACAACACAAGCATCAGGAAAGACAGAATAATGTCACAGGACTTTATATTAGTCTTTTGTGAAGTAGGAGGTTTTAAGTGAAGTACAACCTGTGGTCCTTTGCTAATGATGCCTGGTGATGTGGAGGACAGACTCAGTAGAGAATAGTTGCTTATGCGGATAAAAGAGGCAAAGATAATGTGTCCAAAGGAAAGATGGCAAAGCAAGCTAGTCTCTTGGCCAAATTCTTAGTCAACCAAAGGGAAATGATTCCAAATTTAGCACTCATCTCAAGTAAGAACCTGAAGGTAGAAAAGACTGAGCTGGCAAATCTCTAGAGCCCTTTCTTTCCTCAAGTGCAGCAGTTCTCAGCCTGTAGGTCTCAGCCTCTTTGGGGATCAAATGAACCCATTAGGCATCCTGCATATCAGATATTTACATTATGATTCACAAAGGTAGCAAAATTACTGTTATGAAGTAGCAATGGGGTAATTTTATGGTTGGGTTCACCATAACATGAGGAACTGAGTTTAAGAGTCATAGCATTAGGAAGGCTGAGAACCACTGCTCTAATGCCTTTCTAACAGGGTTCAACACCGGAAATCAGAGAACCAGGAAGCAAACATGCATCATGTTGCTGCAAGCCATCCAACATCTTTGAATGATGTAACTAACCTATGATGAAATTTAACAGACATACTGGGGATATGGAACATAATAGAATATTATGCCTGGTGGTAGAGAGGAGGCAGAGTTGGAGAAACATGTTTACCCAAGTCTACACAAATCTTGGCAAATAGCAAGTGATCTATGAAGTAATGTGGCATTGCATTTAGTTCCGGAATCCCTAAACACCAAAAGTCAACATGGCATTTTGAGGACAAATAGAATTTGTTTCATCATCATCATCGTCATCATCATCCTCTCTTTCTGCTGAGTCCTCCAAGGCTTTTTTTATTTATTTTATTTTTATTTTACATACCGATCCCAGTTCCCTCTCCCTCCCTCCCCCCTCCCTCCATCCCTCTTTCCTTCTTTCCCCCCTCACATGCACCCCAACCACCCTCCCCTCTCACCCCCACCCACTCCACTTGTAGGGTGATGCCATCTAGGAGGGGTCATCTAAATCTGTCAGGTCATTTGAAGTAGGGACTAGGACTTCTCTCCTGTCTCTAGGTTAAAGGAATAGCCCTCCATGGGGGATGTTCCCGCAAGGTCCTTTTATGCACCAGGAATACATCCTGGTTCCACTGTCTGAGGTCCCTTAGACTGTTCATAACTTCTAGCTGAGACCCATGTTCAAGGGGTCTGAGTCAGTCCCATGCTGGATTCCCAGCTATCAGTCTGGGGGCCCGTTAGCTCCTCCTTCAGGCCAGCTGTCTCTATGTGTTTCTGCAGTGTGGTCTTGTCCTCCCTCTCTGCATATGGATTGTAGTTCGACTCAGTGTTTAGTTGTGGGTGTTTGCTTTTGTTTCCAACAGATACTAGATGAGGGCTCAATGATGGTGAATCAGTTAGTCGTTGATCTCGTTATCAGGGAAGGGCATTTATGGTAGCCGTCCCACTGTTGCTCAAATTGTTAGTTGGAGTCAACCTTGTAGGTCTCTGGACATTTCTTTAGATTCAGTTTTCTCTTCAATCCTATAATGGCTCCCTCTTTTATGTTCTCTCTCTCTCTCTTTCTCCCTCTCCCTTCTGTCTTCTATTCCTAGTCCCATGTGTTTTCCTCTCCTCCCCTTCTCTTTCTCCTTATAACCCCAGCTGTCCTAGAACTTACATAGATGAGGCTGGCCTTAAACTCACAGAGGTCCACCTGCCTCTGCCTCCTGAGTACTACCCTTTTTATTTTCTGATGGGACATATATTTTCCATAGGAAATTGAATTGCTAGAATACAAATATAGCAGATTATATAGATAAGACTAAGATGCTTAAATGCTGGCCCTAATTTCCTGTCTCAGATTAGTGCTATTTATATTTCTAGAATATGTTGATGGATGATGTAGATTGAATTGTGTCTGCCTCAGATTTGTATGTTGAAGTCCAAACCTTGAGCATTTCCAAATATAGCGGTGATTAGAGCTGAGATTACTAGGGGGGTGGAAGACAGACATCATGGAGGACTTATGGCCTGCAAGAGTCCAGGAGTAATGAGCCAGGGCAAGTTGGATAGCAGTGATCAGTAGAGGTTATGAAACTCTGTAGTTTCAGTAGTTAAGTGAAGTAGGAAATTTTACAAAGGGGAAAAGCAAAGTGCAGAGTGTGTCTGGGTGGTATTGGTGAAGTCTAGAGACCTCTCCCCTCCTAGGGTAGAGTACAATTTCAGTATTTTAAAGGGCAAAAGGAGAGGGTGAATTGAGATAAATGTTGTAGCAGTTGACAGGTTAGAAGAGGGAGTGTTGGAAGTCTCTTGTGCACTTGGTTGGAGCAATGATGAAAAGTCTCTTTACCTATTATCTGTATATATACATATACATACATACACACATTACACACACACACACACACACACACACACACACACACACACACACACGCCTGTGTCCAGTAGTGCTGGATTCAAAAGTGTGCACTTCCACACTCCTGCTGAGTCGGCACCCTAGCTACTCCCTGGGAACCCAGAACAAGAACACTGGTACTATATGCTGGGACCTAAGCAACTGAGAACCTCATGACAATGAGAAAACTGAATCAGAACCCTGGAGTATCTAGTGAGTTAAAAACCGGTAGGAACCAGCATCTATGAAGCAACCAACACTCAAGTTCAAAGTGGGCACACTTGATACTGGGAGGGAACGCCCAGTGGCATGGTTAGCATTCACACATGACCTATGAAAGACCACCCAGAGGTCTGAAATGGCCTACAGAAAGCTCGCATAGTCAAATCTGTTTGGAAAACACTTGTTGTAATGCCTTCCTTTAAACAACCATGGCCAATGTTAGTAGAAAGGCTCAAAACTCCAGCAAGAAACCCTTTTAAAATGTTTCCATTTCAAATGTTAACCAGTTTTTTTTTTCTTACAATGAACTAGTTCGATAAGAGTATTTGCATGTAGACTACCATGTTGACTAAGAACACTTAGCAAGAATAGCGATGATGAAAATGTTAATGATGTCAGGTTGACTTTCCAGTGTGCACATGCTGTGCACATGCATCTCTGCACATGCGTGTGGAGGCAGCCAGAGGAGAGGCTTGGGTGTCACCTCAGCAACATTGTGCATTTCCTTTCTCTCTCCTATGTTCCCCTCACCCCACAATTTCTCATTCTCTCTGTTCCTGTCTTCTCTGTTCTCTACTCTTTCCTATGTCCCTCCCACTGCTATCTCTCCTCTCATTCTGTGCTTTCTCCTGTCTCTTCCTTTCCTGCCTCTCTTCTCTCCCTTTTCTCTCTTTCCTTTTTCACTTGTTTCTCTCCCTCCTTTTTCCTCACCCTCTCATCTCTACTTTCTATTTTCGTCTTTTCTCATTCTCTTGCTACCTCCTCTCTCCCCTTACCTGTCTTTCCTTCCCCCTCTCCATCACTCTCTCCCATCTCTTCCCTTTCTCTTTTCTTTTGTTTATTCCTCTCTTCCATCTCATGCTCCCCTCTCCTCTCCCCACCCTTCTCACTCCCCACTCTCTCTCACATTTCACTCTACCCTTTCTCTGTCTGCTACCTCTCACCATCTCGCCTCCACCTCTCCCGTCTTTTCTCCCCTCTACATCATCTTTCCCATCTCTCTTTCTCTCTCCTCCCCCATCACATCCTCTCTTCCTCTCTCATCTCCTTCCCCTCCACATCCTTTTCTCCACTCTCTCTTCTACTTAATCTTCTCTTTCCCCCTTTTCTCCCTTCCCCCTCCCTCCTCTGTTTTATGCATATCTCCTCTCTCCCTCTCCATCCTCCCCTCCTGCCACCGCTTTCTCTCTTCATCTCACATCTCCTCCCCACGTCCTCTTTCCTCTCCAGCGCACTCTCTCCTGTCTCTACTCCACACATGTTCTCCTCACTCTCTTTCTGTCCTCCCTGTAGTCTTTCCTGGGTCACACACTCGTACCTCTCTCTCCTCGATCCCCCATTTTCTCCTCCTTCCCTCCTCCTCCATTCTCCTGCCTCTCACTCCCTCTTCCTCTTCTCTGTCCTTTGTTTCACACTTACACCTCACTTTCCCCTCTTTTCCCCTTTTCTGTCTCCTCTCCTTTCTTTCCTGTCTCTCTCCTCCCTCTGCCTCCCCACCTCTTCCCCCCCTCTCTCTCATGTGCATTAACAACATAGCAGAATGATGCACTTGTAAAGATCTACAAATACCTGAAGTAGAACAGC